ACCCGGTTTAGGAGGAAAAAAAAAAAATCCCGCCGGCTTCTAGTAAAAGCAGAAAACCGACGTCGAGGTTACCGGAGGATTTGCGCCGGGGGTGGCGGGTCTGGGAGGCACAAACGGCGTCGATCGCAACCGGATCCAGAGCCTGTTCGGCCTCGGATGACAGGAGCACGGGGTGCTACCCGAGCAAGACAGCATCGTGATTATACTGCTAACTACCATTTCCTGTGCGCCTGCCCGATGGCCGTGGGCCTAAATAAACCCTTTGTCATCATCTCATCACCTCCATTTTCATAGGTGAAGAATCGGAGTCAGAAAGTTAGAGCCTTGCCGGAGATCACGGAGTTGGAAATAGCGGACACTATCCCCAGGGAGCTGGGGATTTAATTGAGCATCTATCATTTATCAGGTACTTTTACTAAGACTTAGGTTAAATAACCTCTTCTAAGTTACACGTTGGTAAGTGTTGCACCGGAATTTAAATATGAATTTACCATCCTTTTTCAACTGTCTCCTCCCTTATCTCACTCCCTAAAATAATTAGAATCCCGCCATCTCTGTAACCCATGAATGATCCTGGGTATAAGCAGCTGCTAGTTCAGTGTCCTCATCTCTGAGATAAAGCTGATAAATGCCCTTCCTGCTGCTCTCCCCATTGCCCCTCAGTTCTCTCTGGAATTGCTAGTGAGAGGCTCCTGGGGAGGTTACCAGTGTGGAGTCCTGGTTTAAAATCATAGCTCTACCGTTTACTGGCCCGGGGACGAGCTTCTTAACCCTTCCATGCCTCGTTTTCCTGGTCTCTAAGATGATGACATGATACATGTATTTCATAAAGTCGTTGTGAGGTCTAAAGAAGCTAATTCTTAGCTTTAGTTTCCCAGGAAACTCAATTTCTCTAAGGCAGAGACGTACGAGGGAGAGTTCTCGGAACTGAGGGGGAGGGAGGGAAGCCGGGTGGGCAGAAGGAGGATGTGAATGTCATAAGTGGGACAGCCCTTGGAGCTATGTCCTGTTGAAGCAAGGGGCAGACCTCTGTCCCCCACATTGACCTTTCATTGGGTGCAGTTGCCCCGATGGCCTTATCTTAGGCAAAGCCACTCCTGTCCCAGGCAACTCCTGGAGCGAGACTGCACTATGAGCCTCCAGCAGACAACAGGCTGGGTAGGGGAGGGGGATGAGGGCCTTGGTCTCCAAGAGGGGCTCTGTGTGGCATACCACAGCACCTGCAATGACAGGTGAGGCTCTAAGAACAGTGCTCGGCACATAATCGGCACTCGATAAGTGTTAGCTCTCAGTTTTACTTAACACAGGGATTGCTAGACAATAGGAAAGGTAGTCAGTGTTGTGTGTCTCTTGGAATTTAGGTTTTTACTTCATACGGGGGCACCTAAGAGGTACCGTTGTATTCCACAGCAAGGCCTGGAAGTAAAGGGTCAGAAAAGAGAGAAACACGAGGGGAAGAGTACCCCGCCGAGAGCTCAGTGAGGAGACCCAGAGAGTAGGTCAGGGAAGGACAAGGAAAAACCACAGAGCAGGCAGAGGCGAGAAAGGCCTGTGAGATAATCACTGAGCTGCTGCTAGAGAAACAGAGGCCAAAACAGAACACCGTGTGGCTTCACTGGTCGAAGCAGATTCCCTCACTGAGCCAGGAGAGGACCCCGTTAGTCAAAACGTGATGCGCTCTGAAGAGCTGGCACTGAACCCTTTGCTAACCCCCCGGCTGGTTAGTAGAGCTCGGGGGCAGGTACCGGAGCAGCTCGCACATGGGAGCATCACCTCCAACATCCCACCCTCGTCCCCGTCTCACCAACCTAGGCTTTTGTTCTTCCTTTCTTACAAGTCCAGGGCTGGACTGGTGTGGGGCAGGGAGACAGGCAAGGATTGGCAGAGGCCATGGTGTGCCGCCAGGCAAGGGGAGTGGTCTTACTGAACATCTGTTTCTCAGCACAGCCCTTCGTCCCCAGCCCATCAGCAAGCAGGAGGTCTTTGTCAGCTGAGGTGACAGTTGTTGTTTCACCTGGTGCCGCTCAATCCCCAATGCACGCTTTTATTAGGCAGCTGCCAGGTGGGGGTGTAGGTGCTGTCTGGGACAGCGACAGAAACCAGTTTATGGATGGATGAAACCCCCGTCTGGCCCTCAGTAGCATCAAGAGGAATCAGCCCAGCCA